CAGATACCCCACCCCCTTCTGCTTCTTTTAAAAGCTCTTATTACTGAATGGTCATAAAAAGAGTTTTGTCTATCCTAATGCTTCCCAACAAGACAGGATTACCAACAACTTGGTCCTGGCAGGCAGCCAGCCTGCAACATTTCAGTGATGCTCGCTGCCGTGGCAACCCCACTGGGCCTTCCGTGGGTGCAAGTAGATATAGCTGCTGAAGAAGAGGTGCAGCCCAGCAGGCCAGTGAGCATGGCCTTGGTTTGAATGATGTCATGCCAGCCTGGGCCACTGGGAGACCATGGTGGCCACCTGCCCAGTAGCTAAATATGGGTGGGTGGCATTTTCCAAATAAGGACATTGGGAAGATCATGGGTTTAAAGAAATGGATGGTGATACTGGTATAGTGTCATACTATACAAATCAATCTCATAAATTAGGATTTAGAATTTGTGAGAATTCAGAGACAAGGCACAGGATGAATTTATCTTGTTCCCCTTCTGAAGAAGTGGGGTGCAAAGGAAATGAATGGGTTCAACAAGCTGTAAGGATAATTCTTAGCCTATTTAGAGGAATACATAGGTTTTTAAGTTTCTTAAGTGAGCTGCATTGATTAGGACTGGGGCAGAGTTGCTGCAACAAGAGACTTGAAAGTGTAGTGACTGAAGCAGGATGGAAATAATTTCTTTCTTCTCTGTTAGTCCTGGTGGCTGGTTCAGGGTGGGTTTGGTGGCTTATGAGGCCAACACATTGTCTCTGTTTCTGTCCTGTTTGCCGGAACCTAGACCTATGGTTGCTTCTACCAGCAAGGATGACCGAGTGCCCAGCTAAAACTCAGGGTTCTGTTTCTAACAGATGAGGGGAGAGTGGGGATCCCCGACAGGTTCCCCTCTCCGCACCTTTTACATTCCCACCAGGTCATTGCCACGATGTGAGTTTGAAGAATATGAGTTCAGGCCTTGACTGGAACTTTGAATTGGTTCTTCTCTCAAACTCTGGACTTGAAAGAGAGGGAAGCAAGATGGGGTCGTGGAAGAGCAGACGGTTCCAGTGAGACCCACCTGACCGAATCCTGACTCAGTCACTTGCTATTTGTGTGACCTTACGTTGTGCTGTTGAGCTTCTCTGCGACTCAGATCCCTCACCGTAGAACGTTGCCAACGATGTCTACCTCACAGAGTTGTTGTGATAGTTACACAGCAGAAGTAAAAAGAGAACCCAGGAAGGAGCATGCCTGCCATGTGCTAAGTTCCCACTAAGAGTTAGTTATTCCTCTCTAGGAAGAATTGTAGATGTCACCAACTTCCCGAATGCTTCTAGGTGAACAAGTTGGTTTGCTTGGAAGCTTAATATAATTTGCATTATTGCACAAGGATTACATCACTTTACAGTAAAGATATTATTCCTTTTTCAAATGCAAATTTTAGAATTCGGTTGATGTGCTGATGTTCACCCACAGGCAACTCTTGCCGTCAGGACACATCTTCCTCAGTCCCTGTCACACCAATGCTACAAGTGTATCAATATATAGCGAAAGAGGGTAAACAGAAAAGCAGGTTTCCTTGGGGAAATGATGTGTGACACTGCCTCATGGGGATCTGAGGGGCAGTACGTGACCTCAGAGGAGGCTTTGAGGCCATGATGAGATGTGGCGCTCACAGAGGGCAGATGTGCTCCTCGTGGCCTCCATTCCTGTGGTCCTGGGCAAGCCCCTGGCAGGTGCTGCTTTGAGGAGGTGAGACTCTGCTGGAGCACCGTGCGCTGTGAAGTGTGAGAGGTGGTTAATGGCATGCCAGGGATGTGGCCTATGAGGTCCTTAGGGAGGCAGCTCCAGAACTGGGTGCCGGCGCTAAGTGACAGAGACCATCGTGAGAACTGAAGCGGTGGAGTCAGAATTTATGAGGCTTTCCTGGTGTTAAAAAGGAGACAACAGGCCCACAGTGGAGTCACTTGTGTTAAGCCTAGGTCAGGAAATTAAGACATCATACCTGATCTCATGGCAGTGTCAGCCTCTGCCAGGACTTTTGACCTCTAGGCATTACCTTGTCACTAGTGAGGTCATCCACCTGAGAGATGCCTTTTGTCCCCACACAGGAAGGTGACCTTGTCTGAAACAACCCACTCTATGCTAGAAACTTCCTTTACCTTCCTTCCTCTGCCTATAAAAGCCTCTTGTTTTGTACAGCTCTTTGGAACTCCTCTCTATCTGCTAGATGGGTTGCTGTCTGATTCATGAGTTGTTGAGTAAAGCCTGTAAGATCCTTGAAATTTACTCAGTTGAGGTTTTTTTTTTCTTTAGCAGTGGGAATGGCACATAATTTGTGCAGAGGGTCTTCCTTTCCCTGCCCTGCGAAGCAGCCCGTCAGGGATTCATGCCCTCTCGGGTGGGCCACGGGGAAGCCGCATTCCCCCACATCACTACTGCCCTGTGTGTGTGCTGCCATGCCTCCCTGGCCGGGGTGCACACCTGCGTGCACACAAGCAGTTCTCCAGAGGGTTTTGCTTGCGTTCAGCGGGCTGTGAGGGGCAGCAGAGGTCCTTGCCTCCCAGCCTGGGGGGCTTGCAGCCACAGGGCGCACTGGCCATCGACCCCACTGCGCACTGGGAGCCCCTGCTGCTGTTCCAGCCTTGGGAAGTGGCAGGAGCCTCTTAGTTCCCTCTGGTGTGGTAACTTTTCACAGGAACCCTGAGATTGCCATCAGGGATGGGGGGCGGAATTCATTTGGAGACCTTCGCCTTGTTTCTCCCCATGGCTCCTTCGTCTTTTATGAACGGAACCCATCCCTTGCTCAATGTCCACAGGCCACCTGATGCTATGGGGGCCCTTGGGCCAGGCAAGGAAAGGGAGTCTGTGGCCTCTCAAAGTGGCTTCCGGGCCTGTGGTGTCCTGGGGGCTCCAGCTCGCCGCCCTCTCTCCTGTCCAGAGCTGACCTCAGATCTCAACAACAGACTGTTGGTCCTAGAGTGGACCCCTTTGCTGAGCACCGGGCAAAGCCAGAGTGTCAGCCTCTCAGAGTCAGGAGACAACAGGCCCATCATAGGGAATTGTAAGTTCGAGTTAAGGTGGTCTTTCCAAAAGAGCAACTTGGATGGGACTGGGTAAGAATCATGATATCATGGTGCAGGATTGGTGGAAACGGCAAGAGGAAGTTTTTGAGGGGTTCAAAGGATCGTGGGGTGTGAACTGTCTGTTGCTGCGTCCCATTGAAGAGTCCCTGGGCCTTCTGGGAAGTTCCTGTCGGAAGAATCATCCCATTTGTCTGGGCAGGAAGGGTAAAGAAATGCTAATGTGATGGAAGGACAGCCAAATCCTGTTAAAGTAGCCCAGAGGGGGCAAGTGTAGTGGGGGAGGACATTCATTCTCAGTGTTTCCTTCACGGCCTTTTGTCTTCTAATAAAAGATATGTTTTTATTCATAAACGTAGATGGGATAAATGACTATAAAGCACTTGCAAACAGGCCCTGACAGGCTTACCAGCACAATGAAGACCTATGACAGTGCTTTAATAATTCAGCCCACAGACCTACTTTTGATACAGTTTTGTTTGAAATCATTTATTTTCCTTGATTTTGTGATTTTTTTTCAGTTCTGTGTGGTAAGTTTCCCTATACAGGCATTACTGGCATCTGAGGAGAATGCCTAACAGGTATACAAATAACATATGTGCTTGAAAATATGCTTGAAAGCTATAAAACAATTGTTACTGAAAATCAACAGGATATACATAACATCTGAATTATCTATCTCGTTTACTTGAACATGAAGTATTGCCTTCAGTCACATCATAAAACCTGAATGTTTATACAGTGCCTATCTGAAAAGTGACCTCTAGGCATTACCTGGTCAGCACTAGTGACGTGGAAAGCTGTGCCTTGTGTAGAGAGCACCCTTCCAAGGTATCTGATTCTGGCCTTTTCCTTGCCTTTGATATGTTTTACAGTTTTATAAGTTGTAGGTAACTGGTAGCAATGCAAAATAGTTACTGTCTATAGACATGGAAAAAAGCTCTTTGTGTGGTTAAAACGACTATCCCTCCCCATTATGAAGAAAAGCCAGTTTCTTGTATATCTGTAAATTCGTTTCAACCATTAATTCGATCATTCCTTTAATCCATGTAAATTTGTGCTTCTCTGACTTCTCCTTTGAACTGATTGTAACATCTTACTAATACCCTCATTAATAATGAGGTCAATAAAATCTTTAACATATGTTTATTTTATATCTTATGAGGGTCATCGTTTTACCTTTGGTAATTATTCTTTAACATAAAATTTTATGGTCTCTATTAAAAATAACAAAGGTACTGTGCTTCCTTTAACCAGTGACAGAAATGGACCCTAGTAAGAGGAACTTGGATCCAAAAAGTGGAAGAACTAGGGCTTCAAAACATTGGAAGTTTTTCTCTTAATATTGTAAAAATGAGTATAGACTCATAAACAACCAATGGGTTAAAGAAGAAATTACAATGGAGTTTAGAAAATAATTTGAGATGAATTAAAATGAAAACACAACACCCTCAAATTTATGGGATGTTGTAAAAGCAGTGCTCAGAGGGAAATTTATAGCTACAAATGCCTGCATTTAAAAGATTTTAAATCAATAACCTAACTTACATGAAACAGAGATTAGAAAAATCAGAGGGAAAATTAATGAAACCAAAAGTTGGTTCTTTTTTTTAAAAAAAAGATTCTATTTATTTATTTGAGAGAGAAAGTGAGAGAGTGAGCCTGAGTGGGGGGAGGGGCAGAGGGAGAGGGAGATGAGAGAATCTGAAGCAGACTCCTCACCCAGCGTGGAGACCGACATGGGGATCGATCTCGGGAGCCTGAGATCGTGACCTGAGCTGAAATCAAGAGTCCGATTTCACTTAACCAGGGAGCCATCCAGGCACCCCCATAAGTTGGTTCTTTGAAGATCAGCAAAATTGATGAACCTTTAGCTAGATTGCTAAGAAAAAAGAGAGAAGCAAATAACTAAATTAAAAAATGAAAGTGAGGATGTTACTGCTGATCTTGTAGAAATGAAAAGAATTATGGGAGAATACCATGAGAAGTTGTATGCCAAAAAATTAGATAATCTAGATTAAATGGATTGATTCCTAGAATCTATCTACACACTGCCAAAACTGTCCCCCCTCCCAAAATAGAAAATCTGAACAGACCTATAACAAGAGATTGAATCAATTATTAAAAAGTTCAGGATGAGGGGACTTTCAAGCGTCTGACCCCGGGAATTCGAGCAGGCATGAGCCTCTGGGTGGACAAATACCGGCCCTGCTCCTTGGGACGGCTGGACTATCACAAGGAGCAAGTGGCCCAGCTGCGCAACCTGACTCCATCTAAAAAGAAAATTGAAATTAGCACTATTGCAAGCAATTATCACCTTGAAGTTAATCCCAGTGATGCTGGAAATAGTGACGGGGTAGTAATTCAGGAGATGTTGAAAACAGTGGCACAATCACAGCAACTTGAAACAAACACTCAAAGAGATTTTAAAGTGGTATTATTGACAAACTCACCAAAGATGCTCAACATGCCTTGCGTAGAACCATGGAAAAGTATATGTCCACTTGCAGACTGATCTTGTGTTGCAATTCTACATCTAAAGTGATACCACCTATTCGTAGTAGGTGCCTGGCAGTTCGTGTGCCTGCTCCCAGGATTGAAGATATTTGTCATGTGTTATCTACTGTGTGCAAGAAGGAAGGTCTGAATCTTCCTTCACAACTGGCTCATCGACTTGCAGAGAAGTCGTGCAGGAATCTCCGAAAAGCCCTACTTATGTGTGAAGCCTGCAGAGTGCAACAATATCCTTTTACTGCAGATCAAGAAATCCCTGAAACAGATTGGGAGGTGTATCTCAGGGAGACGGCCAACGCTATTGTCAGTCAGCAGACTCCACAAAGGCTCCTTGAAGTTCGTGGAAGACTTTATGAGCTTCTAACTCATTGTATTCCTCCTGAAATAATAATGAAGGGCCTTCTCTCAGAACTTTTACATACTTGTGATGGACAACTGAAAGGGGAAGTGGCCCAGATGGCCGCTTACTATGAACATCGTCTACAGCTCGGTAGCAAAGCCATTTATCACTTGGAAGCATTTGTGGCCAAATTTGTGGCACTTTATAAGAAGTTCATGGAGGATGGATTGGAAGGCATGATGTTTTGACATCTTGAGGTCTATCCTTAATTCTTCCTAATATTTCTCAGTATCAGCATTTACATTCAGTTTATATTGGAAGAGCTGCAGGTAAAATAAACTAACTTTACTTAAAAAAAAAAGTTCAGGATGAGATGGCTTTATTGGTGAATGCTACTAAATATTTAAAGAATAGCATCAATCTCTCTCAAACTCTTCTAAAAAAATAGAAGAGAAGGGAATACTTTCTGTCTCATTTTATGAGGCTAGCATTGCCCTGATACCAAGGTCAAGATAAGAAAACTACAGACCAAGATTCCTATGATACTGATGCAAAAATCCTCAACAAATTACTAGCAAACGGAATTCAGCAGCATATTAGAAAAATTATCCACCATAACCAAGTGGGATTTATCCCAGGAGTGCAAGAGCAGTTCAACATAAGTTCAATCAATGTAATACACCATATATATAGAATGAAGGAATAAAACTTACATGATCATCTCAATCAGAAAAAGCATTTTCAAATTCCAGCACCCTTTCACAATAAAATCATGAAAAAAAAGAGAAATAGAAGGAAACTACCTCCACATGATAAAAGGCATTATGAAAAACCCACCATGTTCAATGGTGAAAGACTGAAATCTTTCCTTCGAAGACAAGGAATAAGGCAATGATGCACACAAAAATCAGTCATGTTTCTGTATACCAGCAGTGAACAATCTTAAAAGGAAATTAACAAAATGGTTCCATTTACAGTAGGATCCAAAAGAATACATAGAAATAAATTTAACCAAAGTGGTGAAAGACTTATGCACTGAGAACTAAAAACATTGCTGAAAGAAATCAAAGAAGACCTAAGTAAATGGAAATATGTATCATGTTTATGGACTGGAAGACTTATTATTATTTTTTAAGGTATAAGTGTTTTTATTTTTATTTTTAATTTTTTTCATAAAGAGAAAATTTTAATAAAGTCCATACTCAGTGGCACTTTTAACTAAATCTCTAAAAATCCATCCAATAAGGTATAAAATTTTAAAAATCAGATATTCATAATTTTGACCTTTACTCGGAATTTTGTATTTTTTCTTTAAGTATTTTATTTTGTGTTTTTAAATATTTTATTCACTTATTTGAGAGAAAGTGAGAACGAGCTAGAGCACACAAGTAGGGGGAGCGGCAGAGGGAGAGGGAGAAGCAGGGAGCCTGACGCGTGGCTTGATCCCAGGACTCGGGGATCATGACTGCTTAACCGACTGAGCCATCCAGGTGCCTGTAGTTTATTTTAAATTCCAGTTAGTCAACATATAGTGATGTGTTATATTAGTTTCAGGTATACAATATAGTGATTTCAACACTTCCATTACAACACCCTGTGCTCATCAGTACAAGGGTTTCCCTCTGAATTTTTGCTTTTGTTTCTCTTGACTCAGGAGACATATCTAGAAAGAAGTTGCTATGGCCGATGTCAAAGAAGTTATTGCCTGTGTTCTTTTCTAGGATTTTTATGATTTCATGTTTCACATTTAAGTCTTCAATCCATTTTGAGTTTATTTTTGTGTATGGTGTAAGAAAGTGATCTGGTTTCATTCTTTTGCATGTTGCTGTCTAGTTTTCCCAACACCATTTGTTGAGGAGGCTGTGGAAGACTTATTATTGTTAAGATGGCAATAATACCCAAAGTGATGAACAGATTCAGTGCAATTCCTTTCAAAATTCCAATGGCTTTGTTTTTTTGCAGAAATGGAAAAGCCAGTCTTTAAATTCATATGGAATTGCAAGGGGCTCCAAGTAGCTAAAATAATCTTGAAAAAGAAGAACAAAGTTGGAGGACTCACACTTCCTGATTTCAAAACTCACTAAAAATCATCAATAAGCTAAACAGTGTGATACTGGCATAAGAATAGACATGAAGACCAAAGGAATAGAATTGAGATTCCAGAAATAAACCCATACATCTATGGGCAATTGACTTTTGACAAGAGTGCTGAGATCATTTAATGAGAGAACAGTAGTCTCTTCAACATATGGTGCTGGGACAACTAGATAGCCACATGTTTCAATTGAACCCTACTTCATACCATATACAAAAATTAACTCAAAATGGATCAATTACCTAAATAGAAGATCTAAATCTCTTAAGTTCCTAATGGAAAACAGGGTTAAATCTTCATGACCTTGGATTTACTGATAGATTCTTAGATATAACAACAAAAGCATAAGCAACAAAAGAAAAAATGCATTGGTTGGATTCCATTTAAATTAAAAAATTATGTGCATCAAAGGACAATATTAAGAAAGTAAAGAGACAACTTACAGAATGGGAGGAAATATTTGCAAATCCAATGTCTGGTAAGGATCTAACATCCAGATATGTAAAATAGACTTACAGCTCAAAAACAAAAAGAGGGATAACCCAGTTTAAAAATGGACAAAGGATTTGAATAGACATTTCCCCAAAGACAATATACAAATGGCCAAGAGCGCGTGAAAAGATGCTTGACATCATTAGTCATTAGGGAAATGCAAATTAAAACTGCAGTGAAATACCACCTCACACCCACTAGGATGGCTGTAATTAAAAAAAAAGAAAATAAATGTTGTTGAGGATGTGGGGAAATTTTGGAACCTTCATATGTAGCTGGTGGAAATATAAAATGGTACAGCTGCTGTGGAAAGCAGGTTTGGCCATTCCTCAAAAAGATAAACAGAATTACCATATGACCCAGCAATTTCACTCTGAGGCATATACACAAACAATTGAAAACAGGTTCTCAAATAAATACTTGTACATGAATGTTCATAAGAGCATTATTCACAATAGCCAAAAGGTGGAAACGACCCACGTAGTTTGGATGGTTGAGTGGATAAACAATTGTGGTTTATACATATGATGAAACAGTAGTTTTAAAAAGGAGTGAAATCCTGATACACTGTGGATGATCCTGGAAAACACTATGCTAATTGAAAGAAACTAGTCACAAATGGTCACGTATGTGATTTCATTTATATGAAATATCCAGAACAGGTAAATCCAGAGACAAAGTAGATCTGTGATTGCCACGGGCTGTGCGGAGGGGAGAATGGGGGAGTAATTTCTTAATGAGCATAGAGTTATTTGGGGATGAAGAAAATACTTTGGAACTGAATAGGGGTCGTGGTTGCATGATATTGTGAATTACCAAGTGCCACTGAGTTGTTCACTTTAAAATAGCTAATTATGTGTTACCCAGATTACACCTCAACAACAACTACTACTACTACAAAAGACGAGGGTAGACAATTCACACGTTTGATATAGTTTAAATGTGAGGAATTAGTTCCCAGGGGGAAGAGGGTTTAGATTGGCAGTATTAGTATTTTCCCACCAAAACCACAGAGGACACCTCTGGCCAATGGCACTGAGATAGGAAGCACCCTCCCTGGGGTTCTCAGGATTATGTGCAATTTCCAGTGAATTTCCTGTAATTCCACCTCACCAGCTTTGTTACAGATTACTCATGGCATCTCTCATAGAGTCAAGAATCTGTGATTTAGGTGATGGTCATTTTAAATTTTGATCATGTGAAGGTGGGGGGCGGGACAGGAGTGTGGGGGGAAATGTTAGTGGAAAATGTTACATTTCTTAAGAAAAGTTTAAGGAGGGTGTCTGGGTGGCTCAGGTCATGATCCTGGGGTCCTGGGATTGTGTCCCGCATCGGGCTCCCTGCTCAGCTGGGAGTCTGCTTCTCCCTCTGCCCCTCCCCGCGCTTGTGCACATGCACTCTCTCTCTCTCTCTCTCTCTCTCCCCCTCACAAAAATAAATAAATAATAGTTAAAAAAAGTTTAAGGACGAATACAAGGGATACTTTGTATAGAATTACGAAATTCAAGTGTTACCGGAAGGTACAGAATGAAAAGGGAAGGCTTCTCTACCTTGGACAATCACTGTTAATATGTTCTTGTGATTTTTTTTAAAAGAACTGTTTCAAGCTTGTGTGTGCTTACATACACATAGATTTTTCTTAAAAAAAATAAAGAAGTCATTACAGACTTGCATATGGCTTTTTCCCCTTTTTATTGAGATATAATTGACATAATAATGTATTAGTTTTAGGAGTACAACATAGTGATTCCCTATTTGTATATATTGCAAAATGATCACCACAGTAAGTATAGTTAACATCTGTCACCACACATAGTTACAAAGTTTTTTTCTTATGAACTTTTAAGATCTGCCCTATTAGTAACTTACAAATATACAATATGCCATTGTTAACTTTAGTCACCATGCTGTACACTAGATCCCCAGGATTTATTTATTTTATAACAGGAATTTTGTACCTTTTGACCACCTTTCCTCATTTTACCCACCTTCGCCCCAACCTCTGGCAACCAACAATCTGTTTTGGCTTTTTATCGAACAGTGAATCTTAGAGCTCTTCCCATACATACAAGCACTACTGATGTACTTTATTCTTTTAAATGGCTATGTAGGGGCGCCTGGGTGGCTCAGTTGGTTGGGTGTCTGTCTTTGGCTCGGGTCACGATCCCGGAGTCGTGGGATGGAGCCCTGCATTGGCGGGGGGGGGGGGTCCCTGCACAGCGGGAAGCCTGCTTCTCCCTCTCCCTCTACTGCTCCCCTACTTGTGCTCCCTCTCTCTTGCTCACTCTCTCTCTCAAATAAATAAATAAATAAAAGCTTAAAAAAATAAGTGGCTGTGTAATCATCATGGTAATAATGAGCATTTATTGAACATTTGCAATGTGCCAGTGCTGTTCTAAGTGCTATGGATATATTACCTCATTTAATCTTCACAAATCCTCTGAGATAGGCCCTGCCACTGCTTCTATTTTACAGATGAGGCAGCATTGCCCAGAGAGACTCAGCAAGAAATTTAAATTCCTTGTGTCTGATCCCAAACCCATGCTCTGACCCCCACAAAATTCTGCTCCCCTTCACAGTTTGTGGGAGAGCTGGGGTTTATCGTTATTTACAGCTTTCATGCATTCTACTCCTTGATTATTTTCTGTTCCCCTAATGTAGTCTCCTATTAAAAGAGCTAGGGAATAACCAAGAAGAGTTAAACAATTATGATGAAGATTTTCAAAATTTTTTCCCAAGAATGGCTACTAGGGCTTGATTTCTTAGCCCAGGAAAGAGGGTGTCTCTAATTTTTATAGCGTGGTGTGCATACTAAAAGAAATAG